ATTGGTAGGCGGGTAGGCCTGTAGGTTGGTAGGTTGGTAGGTCTGTAGATTGGTAGGTCTGTAAGTTTGTAGGCCTGTAGGTTGGTAGGTCTGTTGGTTGGTAGGCGGGTAGGTTGGTAGGTCTGTAGGTCTGTAGGTTGGTAGGCCTGTTGGTTGGTAGGCGGGTAGGTCTGTAGGTTGGTAGGTTGGTAGGTCTGTAGATTGGTCGGTCTGTAGATTGGTAGGCGGGTAGGCCTGTAGGTTGGTAGGTCTGTAGGTTGGTAGGTATGTAGGTTGGTCGGTCTGTAGATTGGTAGGTCTGTAGGTCTGTAAATTGGTAGGCGGGTAGGCCTGTAGGTTGGTAGGTTGGTAGGTCTGTAGATTGGTCGGTCTGTAGATTGGTAGGTCTGTAAGTTTGTAGGCCTGTAGGTTGGTAGGTCTGTTGGTTGGTAGGCGGGTAGGTTGGTAGGTCTGTAGGTTGGTAGGCCTGTTGGTTGGTAGGCGGGTAGGTCTGTAGGTTGGCAGGTCTTTAGGTTGGTAGGTCTGTAGGTTGGTAGGTCTGTAGGTCAGTAGGTTCGTGGGTCTGAAGGTTGGTAGGTCTGTAGATTAGTTAAGTTGATTGACTCGTGGACAGGCTAGGTAAGTGATTTTCCTTGTAGGTTTCCTTTTGAGGAGGCGAAGGAGGGAGGGGTGGGGGTAAAGACACATACCAACTCATCAAGCAGGCCTTAGAAGGCGACTAATTATGAGTGTATCCTTCGAAGTTGGAATGCATCTGCCTGAGAGGCGAGGAACCGTAGTATGCATAAAAATAAACCAGATCTGTAAAACGGATACACACTCAACACTCAGGTTCTGGAACAGGACTGCAGTCCAGAAGTGGATGAACAACCAGAACTTTCCTACAGAGTTTGCAGCTGGTGAACTCGAGGAAGTAGAACAAGAACAAGAACAAGACCAAAGTCCAGACGTGGACAATAATTTCCGCTGGAGACTGCGGCCGGTGAACAGAAGAAGAAGAAGAGGAAGTTGAGCTCAGATAAGAACCGGCTTCACGTCACTCGGGACATTCCCACAAGCGCTGCGTCCCCATCTCCAGCAGCCAAGAGTAGCTAGGTAGGTAGGTAGGTAGGTAGATAGTATAATACACGACTGCGCATATCGGCAGTACGATAGAGAACCACTCACTGGTACCGGTGGCTAGCGGAGCAGCAGAGCTACAAAGATCAGCCAGAAGACATCACAAATAGAGACTAATTATCGAAAATTGCTATTTGTATTGTGACAATATTTCGGCTGCTGGACAACCAAGAATTGCTTGCAGGCAATATGTTGCGTGTTTACTAATAAACGAAACAGAAAAATCACATTTCTTGCGTTTCATTTTAAGTAATCACAGATTACGTGTGTTTTTGCTTTCGTTTAAAACTATATTTATTTTGTGGAAAACCGAATAGTTTGTCGGTCAGAGAAGCAAATATGCGAGTTGCAGTGTCTGTCTGTCTGTCAGTCTATTTCTTGTGAAGATTGTTTACAAGAATGGAAGATTTTTCTTGGGCAAATATTGTTGCTTTGCCAGAAATAATTGAGAGCGACATAATTAGGAAATCGTCTCTGCGATATTATTGAAGAAACGAAAATCGGTAGATAATCAATAATAAAACAAACATCATTAAGGAAGAATGCAGGGGGAACTTTCAGGCTATCAACACGCATGTCTTTAATTTTCCGTGGAGTCTGTTTGCTCGTTCTGCAGTTAAGCAACCAGAAAACAGAAATGGAGTACAGAAAACAGTTATTAAGAGAACCAAGACGGACATATAATAGTCGAGCACACAGACAAACAGTTTAATAGCCTAACATGCAGCCAGCACAAGCAAGAAAACAAGGGGGATTTGAATTAAATGAAAGGTTCCCACCCCTCCCCCAACCCAAAAATAATGAAGGGTGGAGGAGTTGAGTGTAGCAGACAGAAAATGAACGCAGAAACTAGAACATTGAACACCTAGTAAAATGATAATAATGATAGCGACATCAGAATAACAACTAACGTTAGAACATTGAAGAAACAAAAGCAGTTACTTGTAAAATTGGGCAAGAATTTTGAAACTGTTTTTACAATGAACTCAATAGTTGGGCAAGGTTTTTTAACTGCTTTTACAATAAACCTTATAGTTAGGCAAGGATTTTAAACTAATTTTTTTAGAATAAACTTGATAGTTAGACAAGGATTTTAAACTGTTTTTACAATAAACTTGATAGTTAAACAAGGATGTTAAACTGTTTTTACAATAAACTTGATAGTTAAACAAGGATTTTAAACTGTTTTTACAATAAACCTGATAGTTAAACGAAGGATGTTAAACTGTTTTTACAATAAACTCTTCTTCTTCTTCTTCGTTTACCGGCTATGAATTTCGGCGAAAGGTTCCGGTTAATCGTCCGCTTGGACTCTTGGCTTTTACCTGGACCTTTGAGTTTTGCGTGTACACCCGTTTTACTGGCTTTTGCCGTTTCCTGCCTCACGGGCAGATATACTCCGACTTCGAGGAAGCAATAAACTCTAAAATAAGGCAACGATTTAAAACTATTTTTACAATAAACTCTATTGTTAGGCATCTGTACCAAAGAGACAAGACTTGATATAGCAACAGCCGCGATGTCGCCGCTGAATGCGATGTGGAAGAGCAAAATCATCATCGCAGTCAAGGTCAATATTTACAAATCACTGGTATTTTCTATTTTCTTATACGTGTGTGAGAGTTGGACTCTTACTGTGGAAACAGAAAGGGGAATTCAGGCTTTCGAATATAAATGCTACAGACGCATTTTACGAATTAGTTATTTAGAACAAAAAACTAATAAATACGCCAGAGACAAAATATACACATTTGCAGGACATCAGGAGGCGCTCTTGGTGAAATGTCGCAAGCTTGCTTGGGTTGGGCACGTGGTGAGACATGATTGATTGCAAAGACTGTGTTTCAAGGAACATTGGCGGGGGCGGGGGGGGGGGGGGGGGTAGTCGAAGAAGAGCAGGAAAAAGAAGAACCTGAAACGACAACATCAAGAAATGGACAGGACTAAGCTATCATACACTTATTCATCAAGCAGAAGACAGAGAAAGATGGCTGGTTTTATGTGCCAGTGCTTCCACTCATACACCTCCACGACCCTAATGGGGTAAGGGTTATGCTATGTTATTACAGTTTGGCAAGGATTTTAAACTGTTTTTATCAGAAGCTCTCTTGTTGGGCAAGATTTAAACCTGTTTTTACAACAAACTCTATAATTAGGCAAGGATTTTAAACTGTTTTTACCAGAAAATCTCTCGGCAAGGATTTTAAACTGTTTTTAATAGAAACTTTATAGTCGGGCAAGGATTTTAAACTGTTTTTAACCAGAAACTCTATAGTTAAGCAAGGATTTAAAATTGTTTTTACCAGAAAATCTTTCGGGCAAAGATTTTAAACTGTTGTTACCAGAAACTCTAGTTGGGCAAGGATTTTAAACTGTTGTTACCAGAAACTCTCTAGTCGGGCAAGGATTTTAAACTGTTGTTACCAGAAACTCTCTAGTCGGGCAAAGATTTTAAACTGTTGTTACCAGAAACTCTCTAGTCGCTCAAAGATTTTAACCTGTTTTTCTTTTAAAAACCAGAAACTCTCTAGTCGGGAAAGGATTTCTAAACTGTTGCTTACAACGGCTGTAAACTCTCTAGTCGACGCAAAGATTTGGCTGTTGTCCACTTCTGGACTCTCTTCTAGAAACCGGTCGGTGTTAAAGCATTTTTAAACTGTGTGTTACCAGAACGTTGTCTCTAGTCGGCAGATTCTATTTTAAACTTGTTGCAGTACCAGAATTTGTCTCTAGTCGGGCAATTGATTTTAAACTGTTGTTGCCAGAAACTCTCTAGTCACAATGGACAAATCAAAACAGATTATTAACTATGGAATTGCCCACAGCTGCATCGAACTCGGTATGTTGGAATTATGAAATGCTTCAACTTTAACTGGGTTTGGAAGGTCTTCAGTTACTTGGTCACATGCTTCAACGGCTGTATTCCCCCACCCCCGACGGGACCTATCTGGCCATGTTCGACCCATTCTTAAACAGAAATATTAAATCTAGTTTTGTGGGTTCCTGCAGAACCGGAGTGTTAAATGCACATTCGTTTTACAAATGTAGTTTATTTTTATGCAGACTGTTGGTTCCTTGCCTCTCAGGCAGATATACTAAGACTTCAAAGGACGTTGCATAACCAAAGTGCCAGCATTTTGACAGTAACCACTATGCTTTTCTGGTAATCCCAAAGTATGCTTGGACATACAATAACAAAAGTTTGCCATTGCTTGACTGAACAATTTGAACAAATGGACATAATCAAAACAGAGACATAACCAAGTCTGCTATGGAATTTCTTGGACCGCGCAGCTGCATCGAACCCGGTATGTTGGAATTATGTGTGTTTGTCTGTAGGTCCAACAGTTACATGGTCACATTCCCCTGGACACGTGGGGGGCCTCCTAACCCCCCCCCCCCCCTTTTGCCCTTTACCTATAGCCTTCATATCGACCCATCCTTAAACAGAAATATTAAATTGTATATATGTGGTTCCTGTCTTAAAATCAAAATAAATTCTCACGGCTCTCCTTGACTTTCTCTAAATAACCAAAGTATGCTTGACTTTCTCTAAATAACCAAAGTATGCTTGACTTTCTTGACATAACCAAAGTTTGTTTGACTTTCTTGACATAACCAAAGTATGTTTGACTTTCTTGACATAACCAAAGTATGTTTGACTTTCTTGACATAACCAAAGTATGTTTGACTTTCTTGACATAACCAAAGTATGCTTGACTTTCTTGACCTAACCAAAGTATGCTTGACTTTCTTGACATAACCAAAGTGAATAAAGAAAATGGTTTGAGAGATGCGAAGACATCTTATTACAAACATCAGAAGGAGGCTGTCAAAAAAAAAATGATTCTAAGAATTGGTTTGATTATTGATTGTGACAGGTGCTGAGGTGACCAATACTTTTCCACGGCACAAGAAAACTTCAGAGACTGGTACCAAAAGGTCAGCTAGTGAGAATAACATGCACGGACAACTGTCTTCTACAACAGGTGCGTCTGTCTGTCTCTCCGTCAGTCTGTTTGTTTGTCTGTCTCTCCGACCATCTGTATGTCTGCCTCTCCGAACATCTATCTGGCTGTCTGCCTCTCCTTCAGTCTGTCTGTCTGTCTCTCCGTCGGTCTGTTTGTTTGTCTGTCTCTCCGACTATCTGTCTGTCTGCCTCTCCTAACATCTGCCTGTCTGCCTCTCCTTAGTCTGTCTGTCTGTCTGTCTGTCTGTCTGTCTGTCTGTCTGTCTGTCTGTCTGTCTGTCTGTCTGTCTGTCTGTCTGTCTGTCTGTCTGTCTGTCTGTCCGACCATCTGTCTGTCCGTGTGTCTGTCCATCCGTCCGTCTGTTCATCCACTTATCCGTCTGTTTGTCCGTCTGTCTGTGCACTTATTAACCATCTTACTAACCTCTCTAAGTGGGTTACAGGGCCCCACTTGAAAAGGGGGGGGGGGTAAACCCACTGCCCCCTCGCAAGCATGTCATAAAAGGCCACTAATTAAGGGTTCGCTGAAATTTGAAATGTTTTCCTGAAAAGAGTAGATATCGCTGCCTAGCTGTAAACCACAACAGCATGTAACCCTTTCTTTAAAGGTGAATGCCGAAGAAGTAAGCCTGAGGATTTAGGGTCATGTGGTTAATGCTGTCGCCAAGGACTATGCAAGTTGAGATTTTTATTTAACCCCTGACAAATAAAAATCCCAACCTTACTGAGGTTTGGAACCTGGGTCTCCCGCGTGAGAACCCTGCTTTATTAACCGTTCGTCTAGGTGCTCCTCTAAACATCAGCCAAGCAAAACCAACCAACTAACTAACTCACTAACAAACTAGCTTGCTGGCTGGCTGACTGACCGACTCACTAAGTAACTAGCTAACTTGAAAAAGAAACTAGCCACAAAATATGAAACGGCATTCTGTTGGAAATTATTCACTCGTGGATGAACCCGCGACCCTAGACCTTTATAATAAATGCAGTTATTTTACCCCTGCCTCGTGTAGATAAGTACCGATAATGGGGTCAACAATTAGACGCAAACACCCATTTCTGCTATCCAAGTGAAGCGGGCCATAGTGAGTGGAGCAAGATTGTCCGACAGTGTTTCCCCATGGATAATAGTGGCCTGGTATTTGGGGGACGGAAATAAAAAGGCTTGGAACCACGAGACGGTAGATATAGTTAAGAACTTATATATATAACAAGAACTTATCTGCACTCATAGAAAGAGGTAGACAGATAAGAGGACACACTAGACTACATAAAAAAAAACGAACAATCTAAACTAACAAGCTAGCTAAATAATTAACTAACTAACTAACTAGCTAGGTAGCTTGCTAGCTAGTATGTGCCGCCTGCATACAACTGCATATTCGGTATAAATCCCAGAGTGATATCATAAGCAGGCCCAAACTATACACTATCAGCGATAATCAGTTGCTGGTGTAGTGCCACAGAGCATTCTTTGTCCCACAGAGCATTCTTTGTCCCATAGAGCATTCTTTTTCCCATAGAGCATTCTTTTTCCCATAGAGCATTCCTTGTTTCATGTCCAATGAAGCCATCACTTTCAGAGCATTCAAAGACGGGCGCCTGTTATCATTACTCAAAGATATCTCACTGTCTCTCTCACTGACCCTCTTTCCTTTGCAACCCCTCTCTCAGATCTTTCTCACTGTCTCTATCACTGACTTTATTTCCTTTGCAACCCCTCTCTCAGATCTTTCTCACTGTCTCTCTCTTACTGACCCTCTTTCCTTTGCAACCCCTCTCTCAGATCTTTCTCACTGTCTCTATCACTGACTTTATTTCCTTTGCAACCCCTCTCTCAGATCTTTCTCACTATCTCTCTCTTACTGACCCTCTTTCCTTTGCAACCCCTCTCTCACATATTTCTCACTGTCTCTATCACTGACTCTCTTTCCTTTGCAACCCTTCTCTCAGATCTTTCTCACTGTCTCTTCTATATTCTACACCTAGCTCTCTTAGTTCTTTCTCTCACTTTCTCTCCTTTATCTGTGTCAACTCTCTCAGTTCTTTCTCTCACTTTCTTTCCTTTTTCTGAGTCAACTCTCTCGCTCTCTCAGTTCTTTCTCTCACTTTCTCTCCTTTCTCTGTGTCAACTCTCTCTCTCTCTTTCTCAGTTCTTTCTCTCACTTTCTCTCCTTTCTCTGTGTCAACTTGCTCAGCTCTTTCTCTCGTTTTCTCTCCTATTTCTGTCAACTCTCTCTTCTCTCAGTTCTTTCTCTCACTTTCTCTCCTTTCTCTGTGTCAGCTCTCTCTCAGTTCTTTCTCTCATTTTCTCTACTGTTTCTGTCAACTCTCTCTTCTCTCAGTACTTTCTCCAACTGTCTCTCCTTTCTCTGCTAACTCTCTCTCTCAGCTCTTTCTCTCTCTCCTATCTCTCTACTTTTCTGTAGACTCTCTTTCTCTGAGTATCATTTCCATGTTTTCTCTGTCTGTATCTCTCTCTCTTTCTCTCTCTCTCTTTCTCTCTCTCTCTCTCTCTCTCTCTCTCTCTCTCTCTCTCTCTCTCTCTCTCTCTCTCTCTCTCTCTCTCTCTCTCTCTGGTATTCCACTGTGTCTCTGACATGCACATTGTTCATATACAGTGTGGAAAAAGCCCTGCATGCAATTTCATGCAAAGAGGCTTAGGTTAAGCACCCAAATATCTCACACCTACACCACATACACATACACACAAATACCTATGAACGTATATACACCCACTGTGCAGTTTATAGTGTAGACACCCTATCTCGTTTTGCCCGCTTGTGGCTTTGATGAGGCTGCACGATAGAAGGCTTTTCATGCATAACAGAACACAATGGAAGGCTTGATTCAAACACTTTTACTAAATTACAGGATACAGTAGAAGGCTTGATTCAAACACTTTTAACAGATGACAGAACATAATAGAAGGCTTGATTATAACACTTTTACCACATGACAAAACAGGATAAAAGGCTTGATTCACAAACTTTTAGCACATGACAGAAAATGATAGAAGGCTTGATTCAAATATTTTTAATACACGTCAGAACATAATACTCTCTTCGAACACATGACAGAACACCATAGAGGGCTTGATTCAAACACTTTTAGCACATGACAGAACATGATAGAAGGCTTGATTCAAACACTTTTAGCACATGACAGAACATGATAGAAGGCTTGATTCAAACTCTTTTAACACAAGACAGAACATGACAGAAGGCTTGAATTAAACTTTTTTACCACATGACAGAATATGATAGAAGGTTTGATTCAAACACTCTTAATACATGACAGAATGAGCATATCAGACAGTGAGGGATTGAACGATTGATGGATGGATGGAGGGATGGATAGGCAAGCGGACGGATAGATGGAAAGATGGATGCATTGATGGATGTATGGAGGGATGGATGCATGGTTAGATGGACGGATGCAAGAAAAAATAAAATTTACTAATAGACTTATGGATTTCAGCTGTCTAACTTGATATGTATAATATGTGTACATGTATGTACTGTCCTTCTCTTTGTCTGCCTCTATCTATATAGCCTTTGTGTTTATCCTGATCATTGAATAGCTGATGAAAGAAATCACAAGAGACAGTATCAGATGATCACTTACCTGAGTTTGGAGGACTTGGACTAAGCAGATTACACCCAGTCTTATATCATGCCGCAGTATGAAGGCTCAGGAGAAGATTGAAAGACTGACCACAGTAGATAGGACTCAAACACCAGTAAAACTAAAGTGTTGAGAAATAATCAGAGAACAGAAAATCTAATTTGCTTCAAGATGAAGCAGTAAAAGAAGTTGATGTATATACCTAGATAGTAAACTTACCTCAGATAAGGATTCTGAAAAGAATGTGACAGCATAGAAAACTAAGAATTTGCCATGCATGACAACATACTGAAGTCAGAGTGTGAAGATAAAACTCAGGTTATACAAGAGAACATTTGAGGAACACTTGTATACAACTGTGAGTGTTGGCAAATAACAGCATCGGTGAAGACATAGGCAGAAAAACAGCAAACTGGCAGCAATGAAGATCACTTGTAAATGCCTTGTGTGCCAACATTGACATAAATGCTATGTGTGCCAACAGTGACATGAATGCCTTGTGTGCCAACAATGACATGAATGCCTTATGTGCCAACAGTGACATGAATGCCTTGTGTGCCAACAGTGACATGAATGCCTTGTGTGCCAACAGTGACATGAAAGCCTTGTGTGCCAAGAGTGACATGAATGTCTTGTGACATGAAGATGATGTAGATATAGATACAAGGCTGTGTGTCTGTGTGGTTGACAGTCTGTCTGTCCGATGATCTAACTAGCCATTTACAGACATCTACATGTCTGTGTGTTTGTATGTATGACTGTCTATCTGTTAGCACTTCTGCCCATCCATTGATCTAAATTATTATTGTCTTACTACATGTACATTTATTGTCTTACTACATGTATATTTGTCTTACTACATGTATATTTGTCTTACTACATGTATTTTTGTCTTACTACATGTACATTTGTTGTCTTATTACATTTATATTTGTCCTTCTACATGTATTTTTGTCTTACTACATGTATTTTTGTCTTACTACATGTACATTTGTTGTCTTACTACATGTTTTTTTTGTCTGACTACATGTACATTTGTTGTCCTACTACATGTATATTTGACCATCCGTCTTTTGGCTGATGTCTCCATGAATTTCCTAGCCTGTCCTTTTAATGGTCAGTTTGTCTAACTCACTATTTACAGTTTGTCTATAGGTCTGTCTGTCTGCAGTCATATTTCTGTATGTTAGCTCTTCTGTATGAAGATTGTTTTTGAACAGAAATGATTCGTCCTTTTTTCATTTCAAATGACAGGTCGGCCTTTCTTTACCAAGGAGCCTGGAGAGTTGAAGGGAGAGTTTACGCAGACATCACTGGTCAAGTCTGCCAGAGGTCTTGGCTTCACAATCATTGGGGGCAACCTCAGGGACACCCAGTTTCTGCAAATCAAAA